TTGGGGCCCCCCCAATTAGCCACAGCTGAAAGCCTGGACGGGCAGCTGAAGGTGAGACTGACACTGCTCATCTGATGCCTTCAGCTCAGACCTTTACGATGATCCCCACTTCCTGCCTGCCTGTGCCCCAGCCCCTCTCCCCCACCTGCCCCTGCCCTCCCTGACATTCCTGGGACACATTGTGCCTACCCCTCCACAAGGCGCTCGCTGTCCCTCTGCTCCAGGATGTCCACAAGTCTCCCTCACTTCCTTCAAGTCTTTGCTCAAATATCCCCTCCCAGACCTCTGTCACTGAAAGAGCGCCCTCCTCTTCCCCCAGATTTTGCTTATTGTTCTTGGTAGCACCTATTGCTAACGCACACGCACGCACACACACACACACACTCACACACACACACGCACAGATACAGAAACAAATACATGCACATATAGGCATGGAAACAAATACACACAAAACCACGAGATAGAAATAGGAGTGCACATGGACACTCATATATAGATGCAGAAATACACACGCACGTGTTTGCATGTGTCATATTATGCTTTATATCCTTGAAAAACAGAGGCGCGTAATGGGACTTCTTCCCGTGCCACCCATGACTGGCCATTCAGTCTTTCGATGGGCAGCTAGAGATAGGTGCATGGACAGCGCCCCCTCCTGGGGTATTCGCACTTTTTCCGTGTCTTCCAGGAAAAAAAAAAAAACAGGGTGACAGGAAGCATCCTTGCAGCTGCATCTCTGCTCATCCGTGGGTATTTCCTAGAAGCAGGGTTGCCTTCTTAAACAACACACAAACATTGTGTGTGTGTAAGTGCTAAACAGGGTGGAAGGTCAAACAGCACGTAATCATCTGTGAATGGCGAGGGTCTTGTTCACCTCCTGGGCTCCTGCCCAGAGCTGACTGCTGTCCACCACGAGTGTGTTAACCTTCCAGGTTTGGAGTTTTATTTTATTTTATTTATTCATTCATTTATTTTTAATTTGACCAGGGAAAGACACAGAGAAAGAGAAAAAAACGGAAAGTGAGAAAGCAAGCCACCAGGTCTGGGACTCAAACTGTGGTCGGCCATGTGGGAGTGTCCAGCATCTTAACCACAGTGCCACCTGCTGGTCCCCAGGTTTAAGAAACGTCACCATTTTGTCATATTTGCTTCTTTTTAAAAATGAAATGCGGTGGAAATAACTAGCTGAACCCCCCTGGGCACCTCTCTCCAACTCTTCCCCACCCCCGACCCCAGGTCACCACGCTGATGCCGTCAGGATGCGCCCTCCTCGTCTGAGACATGCTTTTGCTGTGTATCTGAGAGTCAGTAATCCTGATAGGGCATGCTTTATGGGCCTTTACATTTTACATAAGTGATATCCTACCATATGTGTCCACCCATAATTCGCTTGACTTTTATCACTAAATGAATGATCACAGTTAACACGATCAACAAATTAGGCATAACTGTTCTTTCGTAATACTTATAACTGTTTAAAACTTTTTTTTTAGACAAAATAAATTAGTTGTTTCTTGCAGTACGTTGCCCAAGTCTTCTTCAGAAGCAGCATGAACATTTCCCTCCTCCAGCCCTCTCACCCACATCTGGATAGCACTGGTTTAAAACACACACAGCAGGAGCCGGACTGGCACAGCGGCCACATGCAATGTTCTGCAAAGCAGCCCCACATGGGAAGGTTCCTGGTTCAAGCCCGAAGCCGCCCTTAGAATGCTGGGCACATGCTTGCCCAACACCCAAGGCTGGCTGAGGGCTGGGAATGGGTGCCAGGAGTCTATTGGAGATGTTGTCTCTGTCTCTCTCTCTCATCCCCAGGGGAGATATAAATAAATAAACAGGGCTCATACTATAACCCAGTGGTTAAGGGGGCCAGATTCCACATGACCGACCAAGGTTCAAATCCCTGCTCTGGTAGCTTGAAAAGCATGTGTGTGCCCCAAATCCTGATAGAATTGAGAAATGGTGGAAAAAGGATTGCAGTGTGACTATGGCCCATCGGAGGGTGCTTTCTCCCTCTGTTTCTCTCTCTGGCAAGCACACATCCTCTGGCAATTCAATTAAAAAAGAACTATTGAAATAATTTTTTAAAAAAGCACCCACCCAGCACTCAAAATGACCACTTTTGAAGTTTTGCTAATGTGCTACATAAACAAAGAGAGCGTCATTGTTCCTTTACGGGGTTCCTGTGCCTCTCAGCAAAGTTGGGACTGAGCCGAGGGCGTGTTGAGAGGTGTGGTCTTTGGACTCTGCCAAGTTCAGTTCCTGACTCTGCCACGTACCAGCTGTGTGACTTTGGGCAAGTTATTTCTCCCCCTGGGTAATGAGCATAACTACACTCCCCTCACAGAGCTGGCGTGGGAAGCACTTAGACACAAGCACAGGAGGTACTTGGTGCCGTTACTAGCCCCTTGCGATAGTGTTTTCCTTTGAGAGTACGTGACTGGTACCCTGTGCCCAGTTGCTCCTGGGATGGATGTATTGAAGCATAATTCCTGAAGGATGCCTGGACTCACTCTGTTGCCTCCACCTGCAGGGGGAGTTTTTCAGCCTGGCCCACCGTAGCCCACCTCCCTTTGCCCCGCCGGCAATCACATTCCCCCACCACCGCAACCACATGGTTTACCTGGGCATCTCTGACTACTTCTTCAACACGGCCGGGCGGGTGTTCCAAGAGGCTGGTGACTTGAAGCTGGCCATCAAGGACGTTATGGTAAGGCTGGACTGTGGGAGGATATAGGGAGAGCACTGTTAGACTCCAGCAGACCTTCTGCATTTGAAACTGAGTTCACACCCGCACAGAGCAAGGTGTTGACCTGAGTTCAAATACTGTCCCCACCTCTTTTCAGCTGGGTGAACTTAGGTCAGTTACTGAGCCTCTCAGAACCTCGGTTTCCTCATCAGTAAAACACCAATAAGAGCCTCTTCCTCCAAAGCTGTTGTGATGATTTAACGATGCCGATGCGGGAGACGCTGCAAGTGCTGTGCTTAGTACGCAGGAGGGAAGGACTCCGCAGCCCAGCAGCCAGCACTGGCCACGTGGCACATTCTGTGGGCCAGTCTTGGCATCGTATCACTGTCATTTTCTCCCGCACATATTCATGGCTGAGTCTCTCTCTGGGCCTCAGTTTACTCAACTGTCAAATGAGGAAATGACCATCCTCTCCAGAGTCAAGGCGTACCCTGATCCCAGCCTGTCACTGGGATCTTATACTGCCCCCTGGAGAGACATCAGGTCTGCTTCTCTGTAGAGGAACTGAAGGGATCTAGATCCAGACGCCACCCCGCCTGAGATAGTGGACACAGCTGAGCACACACAGATCCCTTTTGGAAATAAACCACGACCGCCCAAATGAGAACCAACAGAGACTTTACCCAGAACAGGGGAGTCAGCCACTCCCTGGAGTCTGGCAGAGATTCCAAGATAGGCAGGGAGTTTGGAAAACTTTATAGTGGGAAAAGGAAGCCTTCACGTGTGGTCTCCTGGGGGGGAGCTAACTCTCAGCAGCACACTCTATGTGGTTAGTTTGGAGGGCTTTCTCGGGGGGAAACAGGGGCACTGACAGTCCCTGCTCCCACCCTAACTATTCTGGGTCAATTTCTGCAGTTAAGGCTTGGCGTCCGGGCTGGTTGCTGCAGAGGTGGGGGTTAGCGATCTAGTGTCATGCCTCCTCCTCCAAATCTATAATGTAGTTGTTCAAGGTCTCTTTCTCTTCTCTTGCTACAGATTCCAAAGAAATCTAAAATCCGACTGACGACCACCTACTTTGGCAACTTGATACCCCAGGTGAGAAAGGGCGTGCTCCTCTTCACTCAGCTCATGAGATGGCGGGG